AAAGACTTGTGTTTTTGACCTTGACATTATACAATGTATGTTATTATTACAGGCGGCCAGTAGCAGTCAGGAGATAGAACTGGAAGATCAGGCAGTGCTTATTATACTCATCATTATTGCTGTTCTTATTTTCCTTGTCATCATTTTCTGCATCGTTGCATTCTTATGCATCCGTGCTGCGTAAGTATAGTATTATTTATATATTAAGGGGAGAACTTCTTTCCCCAGTAAAACTATAAACTTAAAGTGGTGATTTAATCGTTACTGTGTGTTATTAATCCTAGCAAAAGATTTTTTTCCTAGGAATGTTAAAAAAAGCAACATGTTCTATCAAATGATTTAGTCATACATGTCGTTAGCAGAGTAGTTATAAAAAGTTATTACTACATAATTTAGTACCACTTTCACCGATTTCATGTACATTTCTAATGCAAAATTGTAGCAAAATTGCCAGAAATATTGTTGACTTACAATAGTAGTTACACTTACACTATTATGAAGCTTTTACAAAACCTGAAAATAATGTATCTCTGAATTAAATGGGAGTCCATGGCTGAGTGGTTATGGTCATTGACTTCAAAACACTTGCCCCTCCCTGCTGTAGGTTCAAGCTGTGCTAATGTCTTCGAATTTTTCATGTGAGAAAGCTATCCAGCTAGCTTACCTTATAGAACTGAGACTTGTGGTTCTACTCAGATACCTGTTTGTGTCTGAAATGATGTACAGGTCACGGACCCCTGAGGTCTTCCTCCATCAGTAAACCTAGAAAGTCACCATATGACCTATACTGTGTTGGTGTGACATTAAACCCAACAACAAAACAAAATGAATGCAAAGACAAAAGTCAAACTGCTTAAACAAAGATCCAGGTTTGACAAATAAGATCATTATAGATGATAACTGATAAATTTAATTATTTTCAAATTTACTGGACTCTTTATATAATTTTCTTTTATAGCACAAGGTAAAATTTATAAAAAAGTCTCCCTTTAGAAAGTTTGATTTCACTCTTTTTTCCCCCAATCACCTTTGATTTATATTAACATGCATAAAATGACCCCATCATCTTTCTATCTTGTTCCAGTCTTATGGAGTGTTTATAAATCATAGAAATTTTATGAATGATAAATTTTTACCTGTTTGAATGTGTGTAGTGAGCTGCTTAGTGCTTTGAAGTTAAAATCATTGATTAAAGTTGGTAGAAAAAAAATTAATGTCATAATTATAATGTTGAGCCACCAGTTTATATATTATACACATAGTATTGAGTCAGGCTGTTCAGATTTGCAGATTATCTTGGTTGTATACTGGTTGCAAAGTAAAGTTTAATGGTTGCAAAGTGAAGTTTAAAAGTTGCAAAGCGAAGTTTAATGATTGCAAAGCGAAGTTTAATGGTTGCAAAGCGAAGTTTAATGGTTGCAAAGCTAAGTTTAATGGTTGCAAAGTGAAGTTTAATGGTTGCAGCGAAGTTTAATGGTTGCAAAGTGAAGTTTAATGGTTGCAAAGTGAAGTTTAATGGTTGCAAAGCTAAGTTTAATGGTTGCAAAGTGAAGTTTCATGGATGCAAAGTGAAGTTTAATGGTCGCAAAGTGAAGTTTAATGGTTGATAAATGTGCTACTATAATGTTGCTTGCATAATTTCTGTTGAGCAGTCAAATTATCACTCTGCATTTCTGCTTGCCCCTTGATACTTAAGGTTTAAATCTCAATATGCATTGTAGAGAGGAAAGCTTCATTAAGTATGTTCAGTTAAAGCAATGCATAAGGTCTTCATCAACCATTGTATTTACTTGAAAGTAGCCAATTTTTTACCTTCATTCTGCTGATGTGACTAAAAACAAACCAAAAGTAATACTCGGAGTTTACATGTATACCTTTTGCAATAGTGGCATACTAAGCTTGATTGAAAATTAATTGCTGATTAAAAAATCTTTGCAATGTAGTGAACCTGGCACATTTTGCTTGACTAAAAACATTACTTATAGTTTGTTGAAAAAAATATTGAATGTGTCTTATAATATTGTTTTGAAAAGCTTGCATACTTAGCTTTAAATCTTGATTGATTTGCTGAATTGATAAATTTGTTTAATTTTCTAATTCTGGTACTAAAAAAGAAACTTAAAAAATTAAATGAGCTTAAAACCTTTCTTCTTGTTTCTGAATTAAAACCCTATGTTGTTCTGCTAAACTAATAGCTTTCTTTGATTTGCTGTGTTAAAAAACAAACGTAACTTCTGGAATTGCTTCAAAGACTTGTTTAAAATGTAACCCTGATTAATCTGTTAAATTGATAATTCTGCTTCATTTTGACACCTGCTTGACTAAGATACTTAAAATGGTGTGTAACAGTTCTTGTTAATCTATGGAGTCAAAACTTTTGAATAATTGGTTGAATTGAAAACCTATATATAGTGGCTATAACTAAGTTAATTTAACATGATATAAGTTATTTCATTATAAACATGCATAAATATAGCAGTTTAATGTGAAATAATATTTCTGTATGGCTTTTATCATAAAAGTATGGTATGAATGTAGAACAGCTGAGTATTTGCTTTATGTATGTAACTATGAGAACAGAATGACATATTAACATAATTGATGTATAATTATTAAATATTTTCTCATTTTAGCAAACGTCAGAAGAAGGCCATGTTGTGTAAGTATACTTACGGATTTTATTAGCTCACCTGTCACAAAGTGACAGGGTGAGCTTTTGTGATCGCTTTTCGTCCGGCGTCGGGCCATCGTCCGTCCGTCGTCCGTCTGTCGTCCGTCCGTAAACTTTTACTTTAAATGACATCTCCTCATAAACCACTAAGCCAATTTCATCCAAACTTCACAGGAATGTTCCTTTGGTGGTCACCTTTAAAAATTGTTCAAAGAATTTAATTCCATGCAGAACTCTGGTTGCCATGGCAACCGAAAGAAAAAACTTTAAATATCTTCTTTTAAAAAACCATAAGAGCTAGAGCTTAGATATTTGGCATGAAACATCTTCTAGTGAGTGTCTACCAAGTTTGTTCAAATGAAAGCCCTAGGGTCAAAATTGGCCCCGCCCCGGGGGAGTCATTGATTTTCCCTATATGCATATAGTAAAAACTTAAAAAATCTTCTTTTAAAGAACTCAAAAAGCTATGGCTAAGATATTTAGAATCAAACATGTTCTAATAGGTGTCTACCAAGTTTGTTCAAATAAAAGCCCTGGGGTCAAAATTGGCCCCGCCCCAGGGGGTCATTGATTTTCCCTATATGCATATAGTAAAAACTTAAAAAATCTTCTTTTAAAGAACTCAAAAAGCTATGGCTAAGATATTTAGAATCAAACATGTTCTAATAGGTGTCTACCAAGTTTGTTCAAATAAAAGCCCTGGGGTCGAAATTGGCACCGCCCCGGGGGTCATTGATTTTCCTTATATGTGTATAGCAAAAACTTAAAAAATCTTCTTTGAAAAAACCCAAATAGCTGGAGTTAAGATATTAAGCATGAAACATCTTTTAGTGAGTGTCTACAAAGTTTGTTCAAATAAAAGACCTGGGGTCATTTAACCGTCAAAATTGGCCCCGCCCCGGGGGTCATTGATTTTCTTTATATGTGTATAGCAAAAACTTAAAATCTTCTTTGAAAAAAAACCCAAATAGCTAGAGTTTAGATATTAAGCATGAAACATCTTCTAGTAAGTGTCTACAAAGTTTGTTCAAATAAAAGCCCTGGCCCGGCCCCAGGGGTGTCATTGTTTTTAACTATATGTGTATAGTAAAAACTTAAAAAAAATCTTCTTTTAAAAAGCCCAATGAGCTAGAGCTTAGATGTTTAGCATGAAACATCTTCTTATGGGTGTCTACCAAGTTTGTGCAAATAAAAGCCCTTGGGTTAAATTGGCCCTGCAACGTTTGGGGGGGGGGGGGTTGGGGGGGCCTATATACAGGTGAGCGACCTCAGGGCCATCATGGCCCTCTTGTTTAATATTTTCATGGTTGTCTTTCCCTATCATTTTTTAAAACCCCTTTTTGGAGACTTAGACAACTGCTGCTAAACATGCCAGGTTATTGCTTACTGAGCCAATAAATGAGCCGCGTCACGACAAAACCAACATTATGGGTTTGCGACCAGCATGGATTCAGACCAGCCTGCGCATCCCCGCAGTCTGATCAGGATCCATGCTGTTCGCTTACAAATGGTATAACAAGTAGTGAAACTGATAGCGAACAGCATGGATCCTGATCAGACTGTGCAGATGCGCAGGCTGGTCTGGATCCATGCTGGTCGCAAACGCACTATGTTGGTTTTGTCGTGACGCGGCTCAAATATGATACTATTGGCGGGTTTCTACAATTTACTGTCCAAAAGAGACCGCAGACTGGAAGCAACCGGTGCCGTGATTAGTATATCCCTTATTTTAAACATCAGATATAATGATAATTTTGATCAGATTTGAATGACTTTTTTTTCATTTAACTTTTTTGTTTGTGTTACTTAATCTGTATTTTTGATAGTATTTTAAGAATAAAGTTGAATGATGACATTTTATGAATAAACAAAATGTTACTCATTTCAGTACACAAAACACATGCAACACCACCTCCCCAGATGATGATTGTAAGTTTATTTTAGTTTGTATTTTCACTACATAAAATATTGACTAAATTTTGTTGATGTAACTATCACACATTTAATATTGTCACTATATACTATTTACATGTACTCTTGTGATCGGTTTTCAGCTTTTCATAATAAAAATACATATGTTAGTTTATTGTTTTACCTTGCACTAATACTTGAACCAAAAGTGATAAGCTTTTACTGCAAGCATAGAACCAGAGTGTCAAGAACTTTTTGAAATCCCTAAAACTTAATCGGCATTTCAAAATTTAAAGCATGGCAAATCTGATTTACAAATTGAGATGGTTAAGAATTAAATCCATACACAGTTAATTTTTCTTCCATTGCTTTGGATTTGGCCATTGTTAAAGGGGTTTCATTTTCAAAATGGGAGTGGTTACTGTAAGAGAGCCATGTAAAACTACACAGATTCTTAGACTGACTTGTCCATTCTGTACTGGTATTATATGCAAGTCAATATGTTCACCACCATTTAAATGGGTAACTGTTATGTTTCAGGAACAAGAACCCGTTATTGTTGAACCGGTAATTTACGATAATCGTGCATTTGTTACTGAAGAGCAAAACATAGTGATCCAGGATGATTCACCAAGAGTAGTGCAGCCAGATCCTGTGCATGTGCAATATGCCGTCGTTCAGAAACGTTCACCATCTCCTCAGTACGTTGAAGAGACGACGTATTTCGAGGACGATCAAGACGCCATCGTTGTTGAATTGAAGGACGACGTTCCCAGACAGCAAGATGTTTATGACACTGAACCAGAGTATAGAATAGAAACTGAAGTTGTAACCGATCAAGAGCGAATGTAAAGATAAAATGCTACACTATAATATACATGTACGTAACTCAATAAAATGATGTCAATAATACAAACTATACAAATGTTAAAGACAGTGAGATGTTGTGACAGTTATCATGGTGTCATGACACAAGATATGATGTTTTGACATTAATATTGTTATTATGACACATTGCATGTTGATATGACACTGGGGATCATGTCGTGTCACTGAATATATTATATTGAAGCACTGAACTAAATTTTATGACTACTAATTGCCATCATGATATGTTTTATGACTATTGCCATCATGATATGTTAGTATAGACATTACTAGTTACATGTAACATATGATGCTAGACTACTTGTTTTGTATGAGTTTACATTTTTAGAACAAAGTAGTTGAAGTACCACTATCAATATTAAATAGGTTATTTTCTTCTTATAAGGCATTTACATTTTATAATTTTCTTCGTTGAATAAAATGCTAAAATACAGCAATGAATGTGATATGTATTTTGAATATGTTAAAGAATAAAATATACTTATATTTTTTTTGGCTTCAGGGAACAGTCTTCTGAAAATAGATTTGTATAAGACATTTACATTTTTCTCCTAATTGTGCATGATTTTCATGAGATTTAATCCATCTAAGTACAAACATTTTCTACAGGTACTCTGTTATTCTAAGAATAGTAGTTTGCAAATAAGTTATGTGATAGATAACCAATGTGCATTGCATCATTGTGTCAGCTAATATTATTTCTTTGAAGTAGAAGAAATTGCTGTTGTATTTTTTTTATAATTATAGAGATACACACAGTGGTTTAATCACGATCGTGTTCCATATTTGACTCAACATGTACAAATTGTAAATAATATATTGCTTGTATATATTTTATATTAGTGCTATACTAAATTTTATATCCGTTTCACAAGAAAATAATGTTCAAAGTTTACCCCATGAAGATCTCTCTATAAAGTTTTGGTAAAAATATTGAGAATTTATCTTTTACATATTGATGAATTGTCAACAGTTTGACAACATAAAATTCACCTTGATTTCTCCATTAAATAAACACAAATGTGTAATATAGTTGCCGTTTTTTGTTAAAGATTTAAAATGTTTAATATTTTAGAATGATGTTAGATATTTAAGAGCCATGTTGATTATTTTGTTAAATGAATTCCACATGTGATATTTCTGGAAAATTTAATGCAGTGAGTGAATGATTAAGTAAGACTTTTGTGCCCTGAAAAATACTCAAACTGTTTAGATTATGTTCTTCTATAAACTACATGATTATACAGTGTTCAAGAATAATACATTAATTACAACCCCCAAATAAAGAATATTTTTGATTTTTTTCTTTTTCAATTTTTTTTTAAATATGTTTACAGGGTTGCCATCTTTCAAGAAGAACTTCTATTTGAAAGGCCCTGTTAAACGATATTAATTGTAATCTCAATGAATTTCAGATAACAATAAATATTTGAATGTATATCTTAAGTTTATTTTATATGTACAAATAGTACATAGATGTTTTTTACTGTGCAGATATATATTTTTGCTGAATAAAATTAATAAAAAATCATTATTTGTAGTTTTTTAGCCATTTCCTGCTACCAGATAATGGCAGTTAAAAGTAGCATATTATGTTCACATATACAATGTATACTACTCACAATTTGCTAATGGTCACTTTTTCTACAGTGTGTTACTTTTGTGTATTTGTAATAAATGTGAAAATTGATTAAAAGGAATTAAATATAATTAGTTAGGAATCGATTTTTATGAAAATAATAATAGTGTTCCTTGACGTGTGCCTGTTGCGGAAAGAGTGTGTTGAACGAAAATCAACATTTTGGAGATCACAAAGTGGAATAAAAAAATCTTGCAAATCAGGAAATGGTTAGCGTAGGGTGTTTAATACCGAGTATCGTGTCCGCGGGCATTAATTACGGCCTGACATCGCCGTCGCATGTTGCTGATGAGCCTGCGGACCTTGTGATGAGGAATCTGGGCCCATTCCTCTATGATTGCATGTCTTAGCTCCTGAATTGTTGTTGATTGAACATTGCGTGAATTAAGGAATGGCTTTATGCAGCATATCCCAAACATGCTCAATTGGATTTAAATCCAGTGACCTCGCTTGCCAATCCATGGGACTATAGTTGCCTCCTCAAGATATCGGTTTGTGATGTGGACTCTGTGTGCACGTGCGTTGTCATCTATAAGAATGAAATCGGGGCCGATTTCATTGACATACCTTACTACCGTCAGTGTACCGTTTTCAATGATGTGTAGGTCCGTTTTCCTCTGATCGCTTATTCCCGCCCACACCATGACTGAACCCCGCCAAAAAGGTCGTGTTCTGCAACGCATGCTGGAGCTAAGCGTTCATTTGGACTTCTCCACACCCTAGCCCGTCCGACCGTGAAGTCCACACAAAACCTTGACTCATCAGTGAAGAGGACCGGGGTCCAATCATTAACTGTCCATGTGACACGAGTCTGCGCCCATTGGAAACGCTATTGAATATGGCGTTGTGTCAAAGGAATGCGAATTGCTGGCCTCCGTGACCTCAACCCATCATCATGCAACCTGTTTCTAACAGTTTGTGTGCTTACACGCACACCAGTTGCATTCTGGAAGTCGTTACGTAAGGTCGTAGCGTTCGAGAACGCTAGTCATTTGAAATCGTTTCCACATCCTGGAGACAATGCTCTGGGACACCCCAAGGACATGGGCAACGTGCCTTTGTGAACGGCCAGCCTCCAACATCCCAATACCCCTATTCAACTCAACTCATCTTCACTAAGACGACGTCTAACCTGTTAATTTGCCAAAGTTTGTAAATTTCGGACACAGTTTTACAATAAAACGAGAGAAGTCTTGCTGCTTTTACACGTTTAAGTGAAAGCACATGGCCATAAAACACCAAATTTCAATCGGTATGCTTTTCCGCAAGGTGTAGTAGTATATAAAAAGGTAGCATGTCTTGTTGATTTCCTTTTAAACACATCTGTAATCGAAAAGGGAACCGACTGGTTAGCTCTGAATTGGTAGAGCGTTGGCCTGAACCGGGCGACCCAGGTGCGATTCCCGAACAGTACAGATCACTTTTCCTTGTGATTGATCATGCAATCCTTTCTACAATTATTAGCAATGTAACTCTGCTCTGGAATGTACAGAAGTTAACGGTTACTAGCGAAAGTGAAGGTAAACTGCTTGAAAGCATGTACAGGAACGATGCCGTGGTTGAAGTTTGCTCTGGTAAATTCAAAGTGGCTTGCGACCGTGATCTTGAGGGTAAACTACCAACACCAGATGAAATATCCAGGGCCTGTCTAATCAACGATACAACGATTTTGGAAATCTTATATGTTTTAGCCTGACTTATTTCGATATCATTTTTTAAGAAAAAAAGAGAATACATACATGTATCAAACTTGTTAACAACAAACGAAAATTATTTTGACCTCGATGGGTTTAAAATTGGGCAAGACATTACAAGTATAAACATGTATATTTATAATAAAATTCTTTTTCATTATATTCTAAAAACCCCCAAAAAATTTTTTGTCTTTTAGCCCCTAAAAGAACTTGTACAAGACATAAAGAAAATTATAAAATTAGCCTTGGCAGTTTTTGTACTTTTTTATTGATATTTTTTTATGCAGACCAGGGGTTTAAAATTTATTACGCCGTACATGAATATAGTAACTTTTCACAATTTTAATTTTAAAAATTTAAAATTTTAAAAATTTATTATATAAAATAAATATATATGGCATATTTTTGGCATTGTATTATTGTTTATCTTCTTTAAATGTAAAAAACTGAATAAAACGAATTTTCAAAAGCTATATTACGTTAAAAAATTTTGTTACTATAAATAAGTTGAAATGTTTTACAGGAAAGAATCTAATATAAGCTTTAAGCTTTCTACTCAATCCCGGTTGTATTTTATGTATTGGAATTTTGTTTGTAAATATGGAGGAGGAATAAATATTGTTTAAACCAAACTACTTCATTAATGAGATATTGAAAATTGTAAAGCGGACACACAGCATGAAAGTGTACTGAGTATGGGTAAGTAAGAACAAAGAAAACGTTCGAAACCATGAGATAACTTAAAATATGTTTTAGTATGACGTATGCAGGAATTACGAAATCTATCTACAAACATGTAGTTACGGTGTGGGTATGCGTCCACGCCTATCACGTGGTTATATTAGTCATATTTTATGGAACGCCTGGACTGTCTTATGTTAAGAATGAATGATATACCTGGGTTAAATTTTTTCTGTTGAGTCCGAGATACACAAAATGCTGGTGAAAATCCTAATGTGCTCATGTTATTGAAGTGCTTATGTTGTGTGCTGACTATTTTATTCAGTCAAGTGCTGACTGTATTTTATTCAGTCAAGTCAATGTATTGTCAGGTGCATAAGTCGTTATGTTCAGTTCTTAAAACAAACAGGCATGTGGTAACAAAATTATGTTAAGTTAAAAAGATATGTTGTAGGGTGTTACAGTTATTATGTTCGGTTATAATAATATGCTGCTTGGTGCTCTTCTCATCATGTTCAAACATGAAAAAACAGTTGAGTGGTACTATCATTTTGTTTGGCTGAGGCAGTGTATTATTGGGTGATACTTTATATATTTTCAGTTGCAATGACATGCTGTTGGGTGCTTTATTCCTTCTGTTCAGTCGTGAAATAGAACTGTTAAATGGTACAATCATTATCTTAAATGGTACTATCATTATCTTGTGTGCCGATTATATCTTCTTCAGTCAAGTCAATGTGGTGTTCGGTGCAAAGGTCGTTATGTTCAGTGGTTTTTTGGTACTATCATTATGTTCAGTTTAGATGATATACTGTTCGGTGCAGAGGTCATTATGTTCAATAGTGGACACAAACTGTTGTGTGATACCACAATTATGTTGGGTTCATTCGGATATTTTCGGGCAACAACATGGGAGCGACTAATTTCCGGCTAATGACCACTAAATTGCCAAAACAATTTTCTTCCCTGTAAATATCATCGGGGGCTTAAGAACGTTATTTTCATAATTTGGACTTTTAAATACCCAATGGGTATTTATTTAGTTTATTCATGACTATACTATGCTGTTACAGTCATAATGGGTACAGTATATAAAACTTAAAATATGGGTAAGGGTAGCCTGTTAAAGTCACACATGACCACCGTAAATAAAACTTAAAATTTATCTGTTTGGTAACCTATAAGAGTCACAAATGGACACGAAATTTAAAATATAAAACATCATATTCAAGTAAGGGAACCCTATCTGAGTCACACATGGCCACAGTATATGGAGCATATAAGAAGGGTAGCCTATTAAAGTCACATATGGCCACAGCATATTCAACTTAAAATATATGTGTTGGTAACCCATTTGAGTCACACATAACCACAATAAATGGAACATATTATTTAAATAAGGGAAACCTATTTGAGTCACACATGGCAACAGTATATGGAACATTAAATATAAGTAAGGGTAGCGCAATAAAGTCACACATACCCACATTATGAAGAACATTCTATATAAGTAAGGGAAACCTAATTGAGTCACACTAGGCCAAAATATATGGAACATTATGTTTAAGTAAGGGAAATCTATTTGAGTCACACATGACTAAAGTATATGGAACATTATATATAAGTAAGGGTAGCCTAATAAAATTAGACTCAAATACATTTCCCTGACTTAAACATTATGTCTAATATATTGTGGCCATGTGTGACTCAATTAGGTTTCACTTACTTATATAGAATTTTCTTTATACTTTTGCCATGTTTGACTTTATTAGGCTACCCTTACTTATATATAATGTTCCATTTACTGTGGTCATGTGTGTCTCAAATGGGGTTTCCATACCTATATTTAACGTTCCATATACTGTGGCCATGTGTGACTCAAATAGATTTGCCTTACTTGTATATTATGTTTCATATTTAAATTTCGTTTGATGTGTCCACTTGTGAGTCTAAAAAGTTACCAACACATATATTTTAAGTTTTATTTACGGTGGTCATGTGTGACTTGAACAGGCTACCCTTACCCATATTTTAAGTTTTATATACTGTGCCCATTATGACTGTAACAGTATAGTATAGTCATAAATTAACTTGATAAAATACCCATTGGGTATTAAATATGCCATACGATCTGTCCAATTTGTGGAAATAACGTTTTTTAGCTCCCGATGGTATTTACGGGGAAGAAAATTGTTTTGGCAATTTAGTGGTCATTAGCCTCGACGTGACCTATGGAAATTAGTTGCTCCCGCCCGCCATCTTGTTTGACGCGAAGATATCCGAATGAACCCAACATAATTGTATGACCACTCAGCGCATTGTCAAATGACTTGTGCACCGAACAGTATATAATCTGACCTGAACATAATGTCGGTATCACACAACAGTTTGTGTTCACTACTGGACATAATGACCTCTGCGCCGAACAGTAAATCATCTGAACTGAACATAATGACGGTATCATACAACAGTTTGTGTTCACTACTGAACATAATGACCTCTGCACCGAACAGTACA